AACCTTATTAACCTCTGGCACCTGCCACTGTTTAATAGCATCTTAAGCAGTAGACACAGAAAGGAGTATTACTGTGTAGCACACTAAACTTCCTTGCCTTCTCCATGGACATTACAACATCCGATATATTTTCACATCATCCATTATTGTATAAGTCCTCAACCTAACACGTGATAGACATATAGACAGACATAGGGAAAATGGCCACAGCAGCTGTTTGCTTGTCCTGCAGGATGTTGGGATGCAGGGGTGGAGGGAAATAAGGTTTAGAGGACAGAGTTATGGATGTTGTGCCCCGAATGGTCTCGCTTTCCTTAGTTCTGATGGATGATGCCTCCAACCGCCAGTACTGCAGCAAGATTCAAATATCTCTCAGGACAGTTTCTGTCATCTCCTGAGCTGACACTCTTGCTTGTGAGGGCAACAGTGTCAAAACCCTAAAAAGCTTATTTCTGAATTACAATTCCCAGAATCCCCAGTTAGCCTGGCCAATATGATTCTGCAAACTGGCATCAAAGAAATTTAATTTCTTAACGAAGTACTGGATTTGGGCCTTTAAAAACTCCAATGAGGTCCTTCTTTTTCTTTAGAAAGCCATCCCAGTATTCTGTCACAAAATAAATAAAATAAAAGGATGCTGGTTCCACAAAGTAATAAGGTAAATTTAGTTTTTTGGGTGTTTTTTTTAAAAAAAAAATGATATTCTAAGCAACGGAAATCATATTTCTTTGCTTCAGTTTAACACCAGAGAATTTAAACATCCCTTCACTTGCTTTTGGCACTTGTTTAAGGCTGATGAGTCTACAATTGTTTCTAATTACAGAAATGTTTGAATCTATTGTTCTGTCGCCTGTTGAAGAATGTGATGCTTATTTTTCCTTATTACTGTGTACGTGAATCTAAACAATCTGAGAAATTTTTCATGCAATGTCATACAAAGAAGCATTGTCTGGAATGACTATATATTAATAGGGGATTAGTTCTTTATAATAACACATGTAATGGTGTTTGTTTCAACTGGGCAGTTGAATCTTTCCTCTTTTTTTAATGATGAAAACAGAATGAAAGGTTAGTTACAGTTTGAAGCCCTCAGTTTACAAAACAAAGCATCATGCTGAAATTGGGGTTGGAGGGTGAGGTGAGGAAGAGAAAGGAACTCACATGGGAAGGGTAGTCCCTTCCTAATGTAACTCTGGTTCAAACACAAAACAGACACAGGTCACATTAGTTACTGCTTGTCATACTGAGAAATGAATGAAAAGATACTTGCTAGAATGTAATGTGGGAAGGTTGTGGGATATCTGGTTTCATTGCAGCCTTGCTCTGCCTGTTCATGGGAAAACATCAGTAGTAGGTTATGTTGTCAGGTCTTTGAAAAATCAGTCCTCATTGGTTTTTTTTTTTTTAGAATTTAGAACTTGCTTTTCTTAAAAATGCTATCTTTAAAAAATGGCATGCCAGAATCAGTAGTAGTAGTAGTAGTAGTAGTAGTGGTGGTGGTGGTGGTGGTGGTGGTGGTGATAGTAGTAGTAGTAGTAGTAGCAGCAGCAGCAGCAGCAGTAGTAGTAGTAGTAGTAGTAGTGTGCTGCTAGTCAATTCTGACTTATGGTGATGCTTTTTAGGATTTTCCAGGTAGAGAATACTCAGAAATGGTTTACTATTCCCTTCTTCTGGGGCCATCTTGGGATGAGGCAGCTTGCCCAAAGACACACAGGCTGGCTCTTCTGGGATCCACAGTGGGGAACTGAACTTGCAACCACTGGCTCCACAGCCAGATACCTAACAATTTTCCTACAATCTATTATCAGTTGTTCAAAATTAAGAACCATCAGGGTGGGTTGTTCATTACATGGCACCTTAAACATTTATGAGTCAAGATCTATCTACTCCTCGACCTTAGTACAATTTTGAGATTAAATTATATACTCAGGGAAGAAGACAACCTTGAGGAATGTCATATCTGGTAGCTTATTCTAATAAACACTGAGCATTTCTGAATGGCATATATAGGGGTAGAATAAGGACTGTGATATATCAGGGACATATCGGTGTCTGAACTCTCCTTGTTGAAAAGGAATAGGGGTGGCACAAAGTAGAGTTAAAAGTTAGTTTTCCTGGTTTAACACTTGTTGTTCTAAGCCCCATGCATATAATAGGGCTGTAGCCCTTCAGATGTCATCACATTGCAACGTTCACCATTCCTGACCCGTGATCACCCTAACTAAGGCCGGGAGAAGTAACAGCCCAACCAGAGGTGGGACCACTGTTTCCCTATCTCTGGTGATATACAGACAAATAGGCAGACCCTAAGAAAGAAGCCAACAAATGCTGAAAGTTGCTTAAATGTGATTGCTAACTTCTGTTTATATGAACAGAAACTTTTGCTTATATGTTGACTGGATGAAGAAGCTTTCTTAGAGTTTAGAGTTGAGGGCATGATGAATACTTCATAGATTCCACATTCTTGATCATTTGGGCTGTCTTAACCTTATGAGACACTTCAGTGACAAATTTATAAGATTCTTTGCCTCCAAAGTGAGAGCAAGTCAATGAGTGTTTCTTTTTCCATCAAGGTTTCTGTAATTTGCACACGATTTTTGCATTAATTCAATCTCCCAACACATATGCATGCACAGAATAGATGGCTGATTGTTAAGAAAAGACATGGAAAACAACCTTCTGATGCTTCAGATTTTTTTTATAAGCATCACATGGTTGTTTTGTCTGTGATTTCGAGTAACTTGCACAAACTGTGCAAGGTATACAAATTTTGTAAGATACCCAGTTCACTTAAAGATTGTCACGTTTACTTCCAGAAAATATCATATTGCTAAAGTATCACAACTAAAGTAGACCCATTCACATCAATAAAACTTTTGGAGGTGTTGACTCACCAAATCACTACTGAGGTGGTGGGCCTAGTCCAGTGTGACTCACTATACTAAGCAACAGGACTTCAGCCAATAGGTGAATTCTCTACATCCAAAGAGCCAGGAATGAAACAATTCTCTCTTCATTTTCTTTCTTGGCTAAGCCAAGCTGCCCAGTTTCCCTATATCTCTGCCCCTCCCCTATCTCTGCTTTCTTTGTTTCTGTTTCTCTGGATTGGAAACACAAAATGTGCAAAATCAAACAATCTGTATGCAAACTCCATTCTTGTACATGGTGGGGAATAAACAGTCTACAAAAGGGAAAGATTACCTCACAATTATGATGATTTTCTTCATACTCATGATACACTCACTCATTTGTTCAAGAGTACTGCCAGCACATGCAGCACTTTTACAAAATTCCCTTTGTCATTTAGTAATTAGTACTACTGAGTTGCAAATGTCTAATTCGTTTTTTAAAAAATAGTGCCAACTAATAATTTTGCTAGTTGAAATAAATGTCATTGTTGAGACATTGTGTTAATATCACCGTTTAAATTTGTTCCAGCAAGTACAGCTTGCAAAACAAATTTTACATGAGGTAGATATTATTTTGGGAAGAAGGAACTTTAACTTTTTTATTTATTCATTTTTTTGTAATGTACTGAACATTGAATTAGCTAGCATCTGGATTCCTTTACCTTTCACTGAATATTTGGTCTTTTTAGTGAGGTTTATCTGTACAGCAACAAATTTGGCATGTCATTTGCTTACTGGTCAACAGTAACAACACTTCAACAGTCAGGAACTTGGTCCTGAATCTCAGCATGCTGATATTATCTTCAGCTTCCTTTATATTTTTGTAAAGCACAGTTCCAAATTCTAATCTGAAAAAGAGAACTGTATTTTGTCTGAATAGTTTGATCCTGTAGAGATTTGATTAACAAACTTTTTTAGTTTTTCTGTGTAATGGCGTCACTCATCTGTAGCCTGTAGGCTTACATGGTTGTAGTTAATGGGTTTATTTTATTTCTAATTGAGGGAACTGCTTTAGGCCTTTATGCTAATTTTGTGAATTAACTGTGTATTGTTGCAGCCACTGTGCTGGAGGAAATATGATACTATAGTATTCATTTAGTAGTTGTTTGAGAGTTTTTTAGAGAAAAAAATTGACTTTATAATTGCTGGTGACCAAATAGAGGCAATTGCTATTAGTTTCTTTTTTATTACATTCATGGCATTAGGTAAGAAACCAAACAGAATAAAATATATAGTTTGATTTGTATGATTTCATAATTGATCCCAAAATATCCTGCTAAACGTCCACACCTCACACATGATATTGTAAGTACCCGATGGCATTTGTTCTTCATTGCTCTTGTAAACTTGTGGCCCCCCCGGTGTTGCTGTGCTACAGCTTGCGTGACCACTGACTATATTGGCTAGAACTGACAGTACAGTAGGACCACCTTATCTGTGGGATCAATATTTGTGGTTTCATTTATCTGCGGTTTGTCACAGGCCTATATACAACATACAAGGGTGTCCTCTTGTGACTTTTGTCCCACTCCCTTGTATATTGTACATAACAGTTCCCTTGTATCCACAGTTTCAGGCATCCATGGTAGACTGTGGAACCAATCCCCTGCAGGTATGGGGGTACTACTGTAAATGAAGTTCAACAATGCCTGGATAGCCACAGGTTTTCCCACCTCATCCAAGTGAGTGATTGCTACATTATAAAAGAATATTTGTTCTTTTTAGGCAATATATGTAAAATAAAATAGAACTGATCTGAAAACAGTTGTGTGGTTTTGGAAACAAACTTAATTATGCAAATGCCATAGTTGGAAATGTCTCTGGCAGCTTGTTTTGCACAGGCTCTGACATTGGTGAGCAGTTGGCGTTAAAATGTGGATGTTGGGAGGCATTTCTGTGAGCAGATGCTGAACAAGGTGCTAGCCCTTGTTCAAGTCTAATCATTAACAGTGATTTTAAAATGTTTTAATCAGTTTCTTAGAGAGTGAAATCTAGTTTGAGTTTTCTTGATTTCTCATTTATAACATTAAAAAACACTTTGAAAATTTTAGTAACTTACTAGTATATAATATTTTTTCTTGCATTTGGCAGGTTGTCAAGTTATTAAGCAACAAAAGATCACAAGCAGTTGGAATATTAATGTCCAGTCTTCATTTGGATATGAAAGATATACAGCATGGTAAGTGAAGTAAACTTTTATTGGATTAAAAAAACCTTTTTTAGAAAAGAAAAATTACAAAAAATTACAAGAATCCAGATGGAAACAGCTGAGATAAAATTTATACCCATGCTGGACACCCATCTCAATGGATTAAATATTAGCCAAGGCTGCTTAAGCCATTACCAGATATGGTAATTATGTTGTTATCTAGTGTTATTTTCCTTCCCAGTTAACCAGACTCACATTTACAGAACAAAGCTCAATGGTAAAGTCTGTCATTCTCTAGTTGTTTCCTTTAACCATTGTTGCTGTTCACAGAACCAAGCTTCAAAAAAACTGAATACCAAACAGGGGTCTTAGAACATTACTAAGTGTTAGATGCAACCAAACGCCCTGTCCCTTTATCTTAGAGCCTTGCACATATATTTTACCATGTACAGTAGTCTCTATATTCTGACTCTTATGTCTGACAAAGTGGACATGTTCCATGAAAACATACATTAAAATATAGCAGCCTTTAAGGTGCCACATCTTTTGCTTTTTTTCTTGTTTTGTGTTTCTTCTTAAAATGTTACAACTTCGAAAACTGCTCTTATAAGTTAGACACTTTCAGTAAAGATGAATTCTTATTTGCCTGTTAAAGTCCCCTGCCAGTGTACATGGGTAAACCCATAGATTATAAATTTACAGCCTTTTATCCTATAATCTCTGTATCCAGGAAGAATCTGTAAGGAAGATTTCCTACATAGATCCCAATGAGATGAATGAGAATACAGGATTTCAATCCATTTGAGCAGTGGGCATCCTTGTAATGTGGTGTGGTTGTTGTTTTTTTCCCCTTCCACCTGTTTAGAATAAAATATTGGGGATTCTAACGTTCATGAAATATCACTGGAATTGATATAATTGGTATCCATTATTATGATCACCATCTCCCCTTCTAAACCTCAAAATTTCACTTACCTTATAAAATAGCAACAGAATAAAGCAAAAGGTGAAGTCTGATAGTATCTAATCCTGAAAGTTTCATATCGGCAGACATCTTTTTAGGTGTCTGTAATTCTTCCTGCTCGTTTGATATTAAAGGATGGCTTTGCAAAAAGGTGAAAAGTGGAACTATATTTATACTTGCTGTGCTCTTCATGCTCCTAAGGCCTTATAATAGATTTAAAGCAGATGGAATGGAGCAGTTATAGTGCCAGCTTACCTATTAAATAAATAGGATTTCAAGTGTGCTGCTGACTTCATAAATCACAGAAACATCTTTGTGACTTTTCTAGCGTACCTAACTGTGTATTCCGTCTGTTAATTTGCAGAATAGATTACACACAGCATGAATATTGGTATGCACTGTCAATTTACAAGTAACTTTTAATCACACTTTAAGCTTTTATTAAGTTGTTTTCATGGTTCCTAAACTTCCTCGAACTGAAGCATTTATGCTGGTAGTCACAGATCGAGGCGCCAGTACTGGCGCCAAGAAGTACTTGGTATTTCTAAAGCTGGCAGATGTAGTTCAGTTAAGTCATAGAGTGAAATCTGAAAACAATGATATGGTCCTTTCCTTCACTCAAATATTCAGCTTGGTTTGAGTTAATAATGAGAACCTTATGAACAAAGGAGTCCGCCTAACATCTGTGTCTGTAGTAAAGCCAACACAAGTTGATTGAAAATTTGCTTGCTTAACATGCAATGCTAACAATAATATGGCATGAATGTCAGTTGTTTGAAGGGTCAAGCAATACTATGTTTAACCTTTTATCCTATTAGGATTAAGTGCAAGTAATTGTTCCATTTTATGAAGTCAATTGAAGTATTTTTCCCTAGTTTCTCTGTATTTGGGCTTTAGCACTCCCTTCTTGTTCTTCTTTAAATTTCTTTTTTAAAATTACTGTTCTTGATTGTTTTGTGTTGAATCCTTTTCTAAATTCTTAAATAAGAAGAGGAGTCTGGCAGGCACTATTAAAAACTTTGGGGTGACTATAGATAGGTATGTAGTATGTAGACTAGAAACCATCCATTATTAGACATGTCCATCGTTCTGTACATCGTTCTGTACATCGTGTGTCCATCGTTCTGTGCATCTTTCTGCATGATTTAATAAGTACGTTTGCATATCACTCTGATTTTACTGTGTAACTAAGTAGCCGTTGCTGCTTATTTCTGGACGTATATGACAACTTGACAAGTAAACATATTTTAAGAAACATATTCTTGGACATATAATTATAGAATAATGAAGTTGGAAGGGGCCTATAGGGCCATCAGGTCCAACCCCCTGCTCAATGCAGGAACGTACAGTGGTGCCACACATGACAACGACCCCACAGAACGACAAAACCACAGGACGATGCCTTTTTGTGAGCGCCATAGCAATTCACAAAATAGGCATTTCAGTGGGGGAATTCCACTTGACGACAACTTGGTCCGTGCTTCACGGACCATTTAATCGCAAAACGATGATCTTTACAGCTATTTAATCACAAAACGATGATCTTTACAGCTGATCGTTGGCTTCACAAAATGGCCTCCCGCTGTTTTCTGGACCCCTGCTTCAGAAGACAGTGATTAAAAACAGCTGATCGGCGCTTGCAAAATGGCTTCCCTATTGGTGATCTTCGCTGGACGACGAGGTAATTTCCCCATTGGAACACATTAACCGGCTTTCAGTGCATTCCAATGGGGAAACTGTTTTCACATGACGACGATTTCGCTGTACAGCGATTTTAACGGAACAGATTATCATCGTCATGCGGGGCACCACTGTATGACAAATAAATATATTTTAAGAAACATATTCCTGGACATGTATGACAAGTAAACGTATTTTGAGAGTGCCTGCCAGTCACAGAGGAGGCACCACTGATGGAGAAGATTCCCCCTTCATTGATGCAGTTCCTTATATGCCCCCCAAATCTGCTTCAGTGGTTTGGAGGACCACCCAGAGAGTGGCATTCTGCAGAGGTGAAGGGAGGAAAGGCATGTCGTGTTGCATGGATGCAAGCCTTTTTCTGAAATCCCGAATGTCACTCTTAATTATTTCAAATATAAGCAAATCAAATATCCCTATAACTCCCCATAGGAGCCTGACAGGGTGGATTTGATTTAAATCAAAAAAAATCAGAGGGTTGTTATTTATTTATTTATTTATTTATTTATATGCCTCCCACTCTACCCAAAGATCTCTGGGTGGCTTACAACAATTAAAATTCAATTAAAATAAAATAAAAGATAAAATGATTAAAATACAATTAAGATAGATACTCTAAAAATATGTGAAAATTTGATAAATATTTGATAGAATTCAGCGTTAAGAAAGGATGTTGGTTTTAAGTTTATTTAGGTAGCAGTGTGCAGGCATATATGACACAAGAGTTCAGTTTATGTTTAAATGTATGTTTGTTATGTGGGATCTTGAGGGTTTTAAGTTTTAACCTGCAAACCACCCAGAGGAGTGCTTGCACTAATGGGCCATTAAGCAAACAAATAAATCCTTCCCTCCCTCCCATCGTTTCAGAGATTTTTGGAGCTCTTTGCCCTTGCGCAATAGTGCTGTACTTCAGGGCAGTTCACAGAGTAGCTCTGGAGCAGGCAATTCTAAGGGCCCTACCAAACTATAACTTCCAAGATTCTGTAGGGTGGAGCCAAGGCATTTGAAATGGTGTCAAACTCTGTAATTTTTATTTATTTTATTTTATTTCTTTATTAGATTTTTATCCCATCCTTCTAGATTATGTCTACTCAGGGCGGCTTACAATAAAATTATTCATAAAACAATTAAGACCATGAATTAAATTGACAATGTTAGTAACGATCAAGATGGAAAACAGAACAAAATACTAAGTAAAATTAAGAGTCAAGTATTGACAGGAGGGTAATTGTGTAGTGTAGGTACCTTGAATCTACCAAGACTGCATATGTTGTTGCTGTTTAGTCATTAAGTCATGTCTGACCCTTCGTGACCCCATGGACCAGAGCACACCAGGCCCTCCTGCCTTCCACTGCCTCCCGGAGTTGGGTCAAATTTATGTTAGTAGCTTCGATGACACTGGCCAACCATCTCATCCTCTGTTGTCCCCTTCTCCTCTTGCTCTCACAAGACTGCATATATCCTTGACTAAATAATGCCCCCATTTTAGGAATGTTTCAGGATGTTTATATTGATAGGCAATCCACACTTTGAGGTGGGACTGAAGGCTTTACTATCCTGTAACAAACACTGGAGACATTTTTTAAAAGATAGTTGTAATCTATGGTGTGGGGGATGACCCCAAAAGAGACTTATGGAGATATGACTTTCAGAACTTGTAAAACTTACTTTTTAGATTAAACCCCCCAGAGTTGCCCATCCAGCATGGCCAGCACAGATTTCTCTATTTAGCTGTGGGTCTAACTACCTGTGGCCTCTGAATAGCAGATAGGGCCACTTTGTTGTTCATGTCAACTTAGAGTTTCATCTAAAAAATTTCGAAGTCTTCTGTAAAAGACCTTTCCAAGCAAAGTGGCATACTTTAAGAGCGACACACAACAGTATGAACCTGTATGATTCAAAAAGCTGTAAAAACTATTACACTCACTTAGCTACCCTCAGGATAGAAAAGTTGTAAATAGATGCATTTAAGCACCCTGTGAGTTTCTTTCTTTGAACTGGTTTTTAGAAGGTAGTTTCCCAGAACCATGGATTTTAGATGGTTTTCTAAAGCGTTGGGAAAAAAAAGGCTTCCCCATAAGCAGGCACATTTGCTGAGCTCTTAAACTTTAGCATGACTTTAAGAATTTTTTTAATACACTGCTATTGCAAACAGACTTTCTATACTTGGTCCAGTTAGTGGAAAAATGCTATTCCATGTTGTTTGTCATCACTGTATTTTTTTTAAAACTCGTGCTTTGGTAATTTTAGATTTAATTTACCATTCTGGTTTGGAGGGCAAGCATATGCCATAGTTTGTTACTTAGGATGGAAAAGATTTAAATAATGCCAATGTTAAACAGGAGTAACTAATTACTTTTGGACTGTT